CTGCAGAATTGAAAAGTTTTTCCAAATATCATCAGGTAAGACTTTATGAGCAGCTCATTTCCTATATGGAAATCAATTATTAAAATGTTCTACAGGAATTCAAGATGACAGGAAAATGGCAGCTAGATAATAAGTACATTTGTGTTCGACTCTTTTGAGCATAAGAGCAATACAGTGGCACACCAGCAGAACTAATAAAAAAGATAAGTGATTAAAAAAAAGAAATAAAAAATAAAGGTCACAAAAGATATTTAAAATTCATACACAAAAGCCAAGTCAGATTCATGTAAAGCCTCAGTTCTTCTCAAAGGCTATCTATGTAATTGTTCAGTATAAATAAGGAATAATGACTCATAACTTGACCTTATGGGCTTGCCTTACCCTGCTGAATGGGATTCAGCTTCGGCTCACGTAGTTAATTTTACTATAAACTTTTCAGGCTCCTAAATATTTACTGATGTTTATCATGATAGAACTTTATCTATCTACACACATTAAATAGTTGGAAATAGTTACATTCATTAACTATGGAAACCTAAGACATAAATCTTCCTTGAATGTGAATTTTCTATCTATGAATCACATGAGGGAGAAGGCAAAAAAAAAGTATTACAGGAATGATCGGTGTAGAAATGAAACCGTATCTCAAAGAAAAGATCTTTGAAGACCTATTGCAAGGAAAGCAACACTCAATTTGCAAAGTATTATTAGGGTTATTATGACCATTATTCACACACCAGGCTGCTAATGGGAAGCAAGTCAGTGTATCTGAAACAATATAAGTGCTTTCCAACCACATCTGGAAACCAATCTAAAAGGGAAGTTGCACAAACTTACACACAAATACAACAAAGATGATAGAACTCATACAAGCTAATTTTGGTGAGGAGAGATGGCAAATACTGCCTGTGAATGTCAGTACCAGCTTAACCCTGATAGCAGAGCAGCCAAAATTACTTTGAACAATCTTGGCATGTACTTTAATACTTGAAATTATGAAGTTTGACATGATGTCTAGTTGCAAGAGCAGCTGGAGACTTGAAAGTGTAATACATCAAAGAAACCAGTTAGCCCAGGGGACCTAACAGGAGGATGTCTTTATGTTGAGACTGATCACTGACTCAAATTCAGCCCAAACTCATGTCCATGACTGCACACCACAGCAAGTGCAGTACAGCATGAACACGCCTGACCAGCTGTTGACAGGGTTTCTCGGGGCACAACAGCAGCTGACCCACAGCAGTCTTGAGCTCCCAGCACACCCACTGTACCAATACAAGTTTCCCACATTGGTTTCACCAGGAGCTCCAAACCTTTTCTAGACTGACAGCTGCATTTCAAACCATGACACCAAGCTTAAAGCTAGCACAGGTGTGTTCTACTCTCTGCTGCAGTCAGATGCAGAAATTCAAGCAAATTCACTGTGTTTGAGAGGGTGCTGAGTGATCAGTGCAATTCTGAATTATCTCCGAGAATCCTTTTTCAGCACATAGAAGACAAAAATCATCCTTGCTTCTGGCATTCTTGTGAGTAGCTCCAAACTGGACTGACCTAATAAAATAAAAGCTCTTCTCCTGAAGCACAAGGTGTTCTCCTGGGAAGAAAGAATGAATATGACAACACTGTCCTTTGTAAAGCAGTATACCAGAAGACTCTGTCTTTTTAAGCAAAAGAAATCAGTCAAAACTGTCTTTACATAAAAGTCTGTTCTGATTTCATTTACATCACTACTAAAAACAAGAGTAGCAAATCTACAGAATCTTGTTTTTCTGTGATTTATATTCTGCACCTTCAGTTCCCCGCCCCAGCGTCTCACCATGCCTTTAATTCATCACACACTCCCACTGAAAGATTTCCTGGTGCCTCCGAAGTGTTTCATCCGCTCTCCTCATACACTTGAGTAACCCCATCCTCCTGTACAGCTCCAACCCCTCCTGTACAGCCTGCCAACGTTGTGCAAGAGGCAGCCCGCTGGCAAATGTAACTAATACCAATCAATGGATTCAAAAACTATATAGGTCTCACCTGTTTTACCCCTGTTGCTTTAGGAAACCAGGCTAAGAAATAGCCCTTCTCTCTGACTGCATTTTTTTTTCCCCTCCCAAAACAGAAAAATTACAGTTGCTACTACTCAATTGCATTAGGAAGTGTCTTATTGACAACAAAAATGCAGGAGTATTACAGAGCTGTTGCATAACACTGAATGTTAACTCATGTGAATGGAATGATCTGTAGACATCAAATCATATCACTCAAGGGCAACTCCATTCAGAAAACAAGCACTGAGCAGGAGCATTGGAGAGGCAGCAAAACAACCGTGAAAAAATCATAAGAATGAATGTTAACAACGTAACACTCCCTCCGCATTAAAAAGTTGTTTGGAAAAAATTCCACTGTAGATGTTAATTAATACAGTTCTCATACAGTAATTGCCAGGGTATGATCTCTTTGGGCGATATAATTGTCATACATTCTTCCTTCCATGCATGGGATACTTCGGAGACTACTAAAGGATACTTGGAATTTGCCTGCAAGACTGTAGCAACACACAGACTCAAAGGTGTAATATCACTTCTGCATTTTATTTGCACGTAAAATACCTTTTGAAGTTTAATCAAGATGTGTAACCCACGGAATACCAAATTTGATTGAAATTTTTCACTTTTATTAACTTGAAATTGAAAACCTCTGTTCCTGGAAGGTTTTGACAGCAACGTAAGCACAGAAAAGCCATAAAGCAGGCAGTAAGCTGGCTGACACAAAAACAAGGAGTTACTTTGCTTCAGGGAAAAATTAGGTTTCCTGGGCTTCCCTGAACCTGCTAACCTTGTCAGTCATAATTAGATGACAACTGAAATGTTCTGGGATTTCTGCAGAGGCATTCACTGAGAAGAAATCTTAGACATTTCTGAATATTTTACAATGTCATTTATCTTCCAATTTGGCTTTCATAAATTTAAAACAACTCATAGAAGATAAGTGTAACATCTCGTTATTAATACAGCTGCAAATTGGCCATTTATCATTCTGGCTGGCCATTCTGGTAGCTTTGGAAGGAAGTCCAACTATCTGATCAGTCAAAACGAATTATCCTTTTCCATAAAAAATTCAGAAGAACAGAACCAATCTAGCTATCCATGTATGCAAGACACAGCACACACACAGCAAGACAAAGGGCTTTTCAAGACTCACACACAAGGATCAAGAGTCTTTTAGAAGAGCAGGGATTTTTAAGATGGGAGTATGAAGAGCTTGTCATTCCTAGTCACTTTAGCCCTGTGAGTTCCACTTCTCCTGAACTGAAACTAAACGTAACTATTACAGCTTAAGTAAAAAGCGAATAACATTTGCCCAATAATAAACTTAATTTAAAAGTTTCTTAAAGCATACCTGAACCGAGCCTTTGGAGGGGGTCTTTCCCCCCCACCTTAACTAAGATACTGAAAATACATCTGAAAAAAACAGTCCCTCGACAACAATAAATGTTTTTGGACTCCCTTACATAGGAACATTACTTGTGATGAACAAAGAGAGAAGTAACTTTCAGGAACAAAGGAAAAGGGGAAAAATCTCTGAATCTACAGATCCTTAACTGGAATGACAGAAATTTCCAACCCCTTACATACCATAATGGTATTTCATACTTGTATGACTGGTATTCCAAGTTTCCATTGCTACTTTGCTTTCCAGTAGCACCAAAAATTATAGGACTACCCTAGCCCTCCTTCCATATGGAACAGCGTAGAATAACCCATCATTAAAATATGACCACAAAAAAAAAGTCCGGAAAAGTCAAAAAGTTCAGACACAAGTTCAAGGGAGAACAGAGATGACAAGGAAAGACAGTGAGGGAGAGAGAGGCAGGTGAAAGAGAGCAGACAATGTGGTGATAAACGCACAACTGACTAAGCGGTCTGTCAGCCACCTAACATCTCTTCCAACCCACCACGCTGGAGAACAGCTGTTTCCAGACTTCCAGAAGCTCCAAGTTTCTTCCACAAACCATCATTAACCTTTAAATTAGTGGCAAGGCACGATGTGGATCACCTCCCGTGCTCTTGCAAGGCGCCACAGGTCCTTGTGAGAGGTGAGAAGCACCGATAGATCCATGCTTCCCACCACCCCATCCGCGTCCAGACCCAGATGAGCTTCCAACTCCTCGCTACCCATACCCTGAAGTGCCATCAGGACCTGCTTACGTGTCACCTGCCACTGAGGGTCACAGGGACACCCACCCAACAGCGGGTTTCACACGTCGCCTCTGTCCCTGAGCGGGTCGCGATGGCTGCTCAGGCCCCGGGGGACGCGGCGAGGCGGTCGCCGCCGGGGCAACACCCCAACGCCCCCGGCCGCCATTTCCCGCCCCGACGCCTCAGCCGCCGTGACAGGGCGGGTGGGTCGGCGGCCGCCCCCCCTCCCGCCGCCGCCTGACGTCACGGCGCCCACCTGACACCGTGACAGCGGCGGAGGCGTGACACAGAGCCGGTGACAACCCCCCAGGACCCCTCTCCTCGCCTCCCCGGGCCGCGGCGGCGTTCGGTCGCCGACCTACCCTGCTCGGCGGCGGCCGCTGCCATCCTGCTGCTGCCTCCTCCTTCTCCTCCTCCTCCCCTCAGCTCGCAAGCTGATGCAACAGCGTGCCCGGAAAGCGT